CAGCATTGTCCCCACAGCCCCACAGCACTGTCCCCACAGCATTTCCCCAGCATATCCCCACAGCCTGTCCCCAGCGTGTCCCCAGCCTGTCCCCGGGTGCCCGCAGGTGCCACCCTCACCTCGCATGCCCCAGTTGACGGCGTTGGTGCTGTCGTAGTGGAAGAGCTCGGCGCTGGGAGGCTGCGGAGGGACGGGGGCACTCAGAGAGGGCTGTCCCCTCCTCCAGACACCCAGGGTGGCACCTCTGTGTCCCCAGGGGGGGACACCGCCGTCCCCACCCGCCAGCAGGGAAAGCCAGGCACGAGGGGTGAAGTGACAAGAGCAGCTCACACGGAAGCAGGAGCAGAACTCCTGATCCCAAACAACCCCCAGGAGATAAAGCAAAACTCTTCTGCTGGAAAGCAGCACCAGCGTCCCTCTGGAAATTGCCAGGACAGGGCACTTTGGAACCCAATAAATAATGATTATTAATGCTAATAATCATTTTGGGATTGGCACAGGGCAGCAGTGACAGCAGGGATGCAGAGGAGGGGGAAACAGGACGTCCCATGATGGAAAGGGAGCACTGGGGGCTTGGAGGAATGCTTGGGAGATTGGGGAACACCTGGAAGAAGGAGGAATGCTTGGGAGATTGAGGAATTCCTGGGAGAAGAGAATTGGGAATGCCTGGGAGATTGGGGAGCTCCTGGGAAATTGGGGAACTCCCGGAAGATTGGGGAACACCTGGGAAATTGGGGAACGCTTGGGAGGTTGGGGAACTCCTGGAAGATTGGGGAACTCTGGGAGATTGGGGAATGCCTGGGAGGTTGGGGAACGCCTGGCAGCAGCAGGAGGCACTCACCCTGTGCAGCCCATTCCTCCTGTAGGCAGGAAGGGAGGCCGACTTAGAAATGAGGGGATCTGCAAAGAAGCCACCGAGGGCCGTCAGGGAAAAAGCAGGAATGAGCCTCACACCCCGGGACAGTCCCCACGGGGCCGCCCTCTGCCTCTGTGCTCCCAGCTCTGTCTCCTCCCAGCTCCAGCCCATTTCCAGCCTGCTGACATTCCTCTCCCCAAAATCCCTTTCCCGTGGCCGCCCTCCCACCTCACCCTACAGAGCAGCACCTCCTCCTCTCCCGGTTCCCCAGCTCATCCTCTCTGCCCTGCTCCAGCTCTATCCCAACCCAGCCTTTCCAGGGCTCCTTCTTGGCTTTTCCCTGCTCCCCTCCCTGCTGCCAGCACCTCCTCCAGCTCTGCCCCCAGGCTGGGGCACTCAGCTCAGCACTCACCGCTGTCGGCCAGGTAATGGGTTCGGGGAGCTGCAAGGAGAGCAGAGGGAGCTGAGCACCCCATGCCACGCACAACTGCCCCTCCCCATCCTCCTTGGGGCTTCCAGGACCCCAGGGGGCTCCCTGAGCATCTCCAGCCCCACGGATCCTCCTTGGGGCTTCCAGGACCCCAGGGGGCTCCCTGAGCATCCCCAGCCCCACGGATCCTCCTTGGGGCTTCCAGGACCCCACGGGGCTCCCTGAGCATCCCCAGCCCCACGGATCCTCCTTGGGGCTTCCAGGACCCCAGGGGGCTTCCTGAGCATCCCCAGCCCCATGGATACTCCTTGGGGCTTCCAGGACCCCAGGGGGCTTCCTGAGCATCCCCAGCCCCACGGATCCTCCTTGGGGCTTCCAGGACCCCAGGGGGCTCCCTGAGCATCCCCAGGCAGCTCCGTCAGGGTGAGGAAGCAGAGCATGGAATGGGCGGTGCCATCTGTGCTGCCAGGCTCTGAAGTGCCCCCCCAAAGCCCCAGGGCAGGGCTGGGTGTCCCGGAGGCTCTGTGAGAAGAGCAGGGCAAGCAAGGCAGCCCTGGGGTGGCCAGGAGGTCCCAGAGGTGCCAGCCCAAAGCAGGTGACAGCAGCTGGGCATGGCTGTGCTGCCAGGTCCCCGGGGTGTCCTGCAGCCATTCCAGCTGCCCAGACACCAGTGGGCAATGCCCACAGCTGGCCCACAGGGCACGGATGGAGTCCTCCAGAGAGGAAAAGCCCCTCCCAAGCCCAGCTCCATGCCCAGCACCTCTCATCAGCCCTTTCCTCCTCCCATTCCTCCCTCTCCGCCCCGCAGACTTCCCGAGGGGCTGGGGCTGTGCCGGGTGGGACAGAAGGACAGAGGGACAGGGGGACAGCCTTACAGCCATTGAGGGAGCCCTCGTAGCCCGCTGTGTGCAGGGCCTCCCTGCTGCTGGCCGAGCTGCGAGGGGGTGTCCAGGGGTCTGCGTAGGAGTTGGAGCGAGCCTTCATCTCCTCCCTCAGGATCAGCCTCCCGATGCCACTCTGGATCTGGCAGGGGGGAAAAACCACCTGGCACTCTTCCTGGCCCTGCCCAGCCCTCTCTGGCACACCACAGAAGGGCACAGCATCCCCTGGCACAGGCTGGGCAGCTCCTGAGGCTGAGGTGCTGAGGTGGGGGTGCCTCGGCAGGGGGATGCTGTCCCCTTCCTTCAGAGCCCCTGCCGGGGCTGGCCAGGAGGGGACAGATGGCCGAGGGCAGCAGAGATGGTGGTGGCACCTTCTCGGGTGGCAGAGCTGGGCTGAGCCTTGTCCCCAGAGCCAAGTTTGGTGCTGGCTGTGCCCAGCAGGGCTGGCACTCACCTTGTGCATGCCCCGGTCGTACCCATCCTCCTCGCCACCTGACGAGAACCTCCGGGCCCGGGGAGCTGCAGGGACACACGTCAGGGGTCAGATGGGGACAAAAGTGGGGACAGGCAGGGGGGAGGCAGTCCCCAGCTGCGTGGGGACAGCTGGCTCCCACACACTGCTTGGGTTTTGGGGTCACCTTGGCAGCTATCTCGGCCCAACCCCGCTTTTGTGTCCAGAGCCAAGTGAAATCAGGGTTTCCTCCCAGAAAACCTGGAGCAGGAATGGCTTTCCCTTTCTCCCAGGCCAGGGGGAATTTGTTACCTTTGGGAGAGCCTTGGAAGGACCAGTATTCCGACTCGGAGTGGTAGTAGGGGTCTGGGGAGTAGGCAGGGCTGTACTTGGATGACTGCGCGATGTCCTCGCTGGTTTTGCTTTTCGTGGCTGCAGAGGGGTTGTCTGCAAAAGGAGCGGGCAGAGCCAAGGTGAGGCTCTGCAGAGATCCACCCCAAAGCAAGGCACAGCCGCTTCCCTCCCCAGGACTGCCAGGGATCTGTGGCTGGGCCAGCACGCAGCAGAGCTGGCAATAATCATTTTTGCACCTCCTCGAGGGTGCTGCGGCAGGCGGTGGGGACAGCGACGAGCAGGGATGTCACTGATGTGGCTGGGAAGGGACCCAAACGGCTGAGAGCCCACAGCACCACAAGTGCTGGCTCCTGCAGCGTGCCCATCCCAGTGCCACCAGTGCCACCTGTGCTGTGCTGTCCCCAGGAGGTGAGGCAGGGGATGGAGGAAGGCTCAGAGCCAGCAGGGACGGCGCTCTCTGGGTTCTGCCAGGGAAAGGTGGCAGCACAGGGGTTCTGGCAGGGCTTGGTCCTCGTGGCGGGGACACACAGGGTGCTCAGGCTGGGGACAGAGCCTCGGCAGCACACGGGGGAGCCCAGGGGAGAGTTCTGCTGCACCAGAGGCCAGGAGAGTGACAGGGGAAGGAGCACCAGGGACAGGAGGTGGCAGAGCCATCCCACACCTCCGGCAGGCCCAGGGGACCCAGCAGGTACTTACAGCAGCAGGAGCAGCAGCAGGCGGTGGGAATTGGGCAGGAGGGAGGGGAGAGCCGGGAAAAAGAGAGAGGAGACACAGTTACTGCTCAGGGAGAGCTGCTGTCCCTCTGGGAGCGGGGCAAGTGGGGACAGAGCAAGCCAGCCCCACTGAGAGCCACCAAGCACTGAGGGCCACCAAGCACTGAGCCACCAAGCACTGAGGTCACCAAACACCCTCCCCAACCTGAAACACCCCCAGGCCTGTTTCATGCTGGATCGGCCACCCAGGATGGGCTGTGATTTTTCCTCCAGGGGGAGGAAAAATTCACATTTTTGCATGTGAAACTGCAAATTGCTTTTTTCATCCCATTTCTGAGGCTGCTCTGACTCCCTTATCCCACCAAATCCTTGCTCCCCCTCCCACGGCCACCCCTGGTGCCACTGCCAGCCTTTGCTCCATCCTTCACAACAGGGACGTGGCCCAAAGTCACAGCTGTCCCCCAGGTGTCCCCCTCCCTGCTGCCCCGAGCAGGAGCATCCCAGCCAAGCCCAGCAGCCACACCCTGATGCCTGCCCCACCTCCCACCCAGCCCCTGAGCACAGGGTGCCCTCCCTGGGTGCCAGGGGGACAGGGACACCCAGAGCGTACCGTGCCGCTTGTAGATGGGCGGCTTCCTGTAGATGTTACTCTCGCCAGCAGCTGGTAGGGAGGAGAGAGAGAGAAAAGGGAGGAAGAAGAGGGAGAGGGAGGTGAGTGCGGGCGGGCTGAGAGCGCCCAGGACACGGGTCCTGCCGGAGCCACCACGCCCCGCTTCCATCACCGAGGCAGCTCCGCGCCCTGGGGTGCCCGGGGAGGGCAGCGCGGTGCCGGCGTGGCAGGACATGCAGCGGGCACCCAGCGACAGCATGCAGCACGGCTGGCAGCGGGCACAGCTGCAGCCACCGGGCACAGCTGCAGCACGGCTGGCAGCGGGCACAGCTGCAGCCACCGGGCACAGCTGCAGCACGGCTGGCAGCCGGCACAGCTGCAGCCACCGGGCACAGCTGCAGCACGGCTGGCAGCGGGCACAGCGACGCACCCGCGGCGCCTTCTCGGGGCGCCGGCACCGGCGAGAACCCCCGGCGAGCTCCCTGGGGCGAGCCAGCATCAGCCAAAGCCTCTTTGGGCAGCAGAGAGAGAAAAGAGCGAGTCGGGAGGGAAAGCGAGCTGGAGAGGGACGGGGCCATCCATAAACACCGAGCGGCAGCGGGAGGGATGGGATGGGCAGGGGTGGGATGGGAGCTGGGGGAGCCTCTGGGTGTCCTCAGGGCATCAGCGATGCCTTGGGGAGGGTGCCAGGCTTTTGGGGAGATGCCACCAGCCGAGTTGGGCTCTGCCAACAGCTGGTGCGGGGTTCTGCCCCCGCCGAGGGCTGATGGGCACCTCTGCCTGCTTCCCAACCCGCTGTCCCTTCCTGCCCGCTCCGTCCCCGTCCCCGTGGGCTCTGCGTGGCCGGGAGCGGGTGCTGGTGGCCCTTACCTGGTGGCCCCCTGCAATCCCTGCAGAAGGGGAGCAGGCATCTGGCAAGCCCGGGAGAGTCTGGGGGGAGGGAGCGGCGGGCCCTAGGGGGAGTATAAAATAATCATCTGTAGCGGAGGGGTGTGGAAACGCCTCTGGCAGACGCGCTCCGGCCGCTGCTCCGGGGGAAGGGGTGCCAGGCTCTCAGCAGGGCGCTCATCCTGGCGCGGGGAGTGCGGGGAGGGCAGGGAGGAGGAAGATGAGGGATGCTGCAGGGATCGAGCACGCTCCGGGCGGCTCTGGGAAGGACCTCCGGGTGGTGACGGGGAGGGGAAGAAGGAGGAGGGCTCAAGCCGTGGGTCCTGTTTATGGATGGCCTCTCCCAGGGGTAGGTCCCGCTGCCAGCTGGCTCTGGGCAGGCGGCGGAGCTATGCATGCGACACAGCGGGGACGGCACATGCGGGCATGCCACGGACACGGCGCTCCCCGGGCGGCAGCGGGGCGCCCCGGAGCCTACCTGGGATGTGGAAATGCTTGGGCGCTTGGTATGAGGTTGGAGTGGAGGACCTCACATCTAACTGGCTATAGTAGGGCGAGCTGCGCCCGCTCTCGGTGCCTACGCGGGGCCGAGCAGAAGCAGCCGTGAGTGACCCAGAGGGAAGAACAAGAGGCAGAAGAAAATGGGGGTTAAATGCAGCGGTGTTAGAGCAGCGGGGCCACCCGTGTGCCGGGGGGGTGACGGGGACGTGCTGCGGGGATGGAGCGGGGGAGATTTCCCGCATCCCCCGGTGCGGGGCTGGCGCTGTGGTGATGGAGCGGGGGACACTTCCCGCATCCCCCGGTGCGGGGTTAAATGCAGCGGTGATGGAGCGGGGGAGATTTCCCGCATCCCCCGGTGCGGGGTTAAATGCAGCGGTGATGGAGCGGGGGACATTTCCCGCATCCCCCAGTGCGGGGTTAAATGCAGCGGTGATGGAGCGAGGGAGATTTCCCGCATCCCCCGGTGCGGGGTTAAATGCAGCGGTGATGGAGCGGGGGACATTTCCCGCATCCCCCGGTGATGCCAGCAGAGCCGAGCGTGCTGCAGAGGCCGTGAGGAGCAGAGTGCAGCGGGGGCTCCGAGCATCCCAACCCTTCCTCCGCAGCGCCAGGGCTCGGCACACACAGCCCAGGCACGCTCTGCTCCCCGCCGTGCCCGGGGTGCGTGCACACGCGTGTGCAAGGAGCTCCCACTCCCCTGCACATCCCTCCTGTGAGAATTTGGTTTTCCTGTTCTTTTTTTTTTTTTTGGCTCTTTTAGAAGGTCTAAGACTTTGATAGGGGGTTAGGAATTTTTTTTGGATGGAGCCCCCAGAGACACTGCCTCTGATCTCTGTCCATAGAAAAGAGTTTTCAATCTTACAGGATGAATTACAAGCTCTGACTATTTGACATAAATAATAATTAAGTGTGGCACGGGTGCAAAAGGAAAATTTTAAAATTCTAAAGTAAAAGTCCAAAGAGAACAAAATAGAAAAAATTAAGTCTGTCTTATCCTTTTTCTCCTTCTTCATACCCTCAATATTTCACTGTAGTATTAACATTTCCCTATTACTTAGCTAAAGACACACTGTTCAACATAAATAATAAATATTAACACATTATTATAAATATAACACAGGGAGTTTCTAATATATAATGTTTGTAACATCCCACTGAAGCACAGAGCCCCACACGCTGCCCTGCAAGACAAACCTATAGCAGGGCAGCAGAACATGTTGTAAATAAGCAAAAATAAACAACCTTTCTACAAACAAACTTTCTACAATCTCAAAATCATCAATACCACAATTCCAACACCCTGCCAGAGGCACCAACCCAAATTCCCCTTGGCCTCTCTGCTGCTCACAGGAGTGTGCAGAGCCAGGGGATGCGCAGAGCTGGGCACTGCTCCCACCATGGGCCACCCCCACCACATCAATCCCAGAGCTATTTTTGGGATCCTCTCTCCACCCGGCAGCCGAGTTTGCAGCCCAAATGCTCACCTGAGCGGTAGAAATGGTGGGGGGACCTGGGGATGGTGGGGGACATGCCCTGGCGGCTGTAGGTGGGCGAGTCGATGTAGCCAGGGCTGGAGGCTCTCCTCTGCCGCGTGTCAAAGCTCTCGTAGATGTCCTGGGGTGGGGAAGGTGTGGAGAGCGGGGTTAGAGCTGCCAGGAGGTGCCCCACGGGCGGGGGTCCCTGTCTGGGGGTGCTCAGTGTGACCCTGGGCAGTGGCGGTGTCCTCTGAGGCTGGCGGGGTCCCAGCCTGCCCTGCCTCCCCCTGCCCTGCAGGGTTTGGGACCAGAGTCCTGCCAGAGCTTTTGTGCCTGGAGTTGTCCCCTTCCCTCCAACCTGCTGCCAGTTACTGGTGTCACTGTGAGCTCATGGGCACTCTGTGCCCCTTCCCCATTCCCTGTGACTCTGATCAGATCACCCTGGACCCTCCTTCCTGCCCCAACGGGAGAGCCAGGGAAGCCCACCCTGCCCAAAGTCTGTACAGACCCCTGACAATTCCTGTTCTGCTCTTGTGCCCCACTCTCCACATGGACACCACAGAATAAAGAGAGCTGCACCAACTTATCTGGGGTAAGAGCCTCTTTTGGAGATCTTTGCCATCTCCTGATATTCCTCCCCTCACAGCCTCAGACCTCTGGGCCACCCTGATATTCAGGGGCTGTGCGAGGGGGGGAACGTCAACTGGTGGCTCCCTCTGCGGGGCAGAAGCTGCGCCCTGGGGCCGTTCTGCCAGGGAGGCTGTCACCCTTCTCTGTGGGGCCTGAAGGACAGGACAGCCCCCTCCCCATCTCCCACACCCTGGGACAGCCACCAGCCCAGGGGACATCCCGAGGCAGCAGCAGGTGACAGCCCCCAGTGCCCACAGGGACGTTACCTGTGAGTACGGGGAGAGGGTCCCCAGGGACTGGAGGCAGCAGGAGGCAAAGTGAGGAGGAAAAGAGAGACACAGAGAGAGACAGCACACGGTTAAGAGGAGCAGTGACAGGCTGGGGTCCCACAGAGCTCGTTTGTGCTGCACTGGGGCCACACCAGACTGAACTGGGGCAGGGCTGGGCAGGGAGCCCTGGCCAGGAGGAATCAGCAGCTCTCAGAGAGCTCCGTGCAGAGGAGGAGGCACAGGGGCCATGGCCACGCTGCCCGCACCACCCTGGGTGGGCTGCAGGACCCCAGGCTTGTGGCAGAACCTTGGACGATGTGGGGATGTGAGAGGTGCTGCTGGCAAACCCTCCTCCAGCAGCGCTCCAGGGGTCCCTCCCGTGGGAGCTGCTCACACCCTGTCCTCCCTGAGCTCCCTGAGCTCCCTGAGCTCCCCCAGCAGGGCTGGCAGGACACTCCTGTGCCTGAGCACGGCCTCCTCCCAGCCTGCAGGAATGCAGGGCCAGCCCTTCCTGAGCTGCAGGGCCAGCACCGCTCCAGGGCTGCTCCAGGGGAGCTCCAGGGCTGCCCCAGGGCTGCCCCAGGGGAGCTCCAGGGCTGCCCCAGGGCTGCCCCAGGGGAGCTCCAGGGCTGCTCCAGAGCTCCTCAAGAGCTGCTCCAGAGCTTCTCAAAAGCTCCTCAAGCGCTCCTCAAGAGCTGCTCCAGAGGTGCTCCAGAACTGCTCCAGAACTGCTCCAGAGATCCTCAAGAGCTCCTCAAGGGCTGCTCCAGGGCTGCTCAAGAGCTGCTCCAGAAATCCTCAAGAGCTCCTCCAGAGCTCCTCCAGGGCTGCTCTAGAGCTGCTCCAGACATGCTCCAGAGCTGCTCCAGAGCTCCTCAGGAGCTCCTCAGGAGCTCCTCAAGAGCTGCTCCAGAGCTGCTCCAGAGCTCCTCCAGGGCTGCTCCAGGGCTGCTCCAGAGGTGCTGAGCAGGACCGTGTGCCCAGGCCAGGCTCAGGGCTGTCGGGGTGGGTTCCCTGCCCATCACTCCTCTCCCCCAGCCCTGTCTGTCCCTGCACGAGCCCTGGGCTCACTGGGATCTCTCTGCCTCTAGAGCAGCATCACCTTTGCCTCCATCACACAAGCTCCCCACGCCTCTGGGCAGGCCCTGCCCCGCTGCTGCCCCCCTGCACTGCTGCCACTGGCACGGAGCAGCCCCCCAGGCGTGCCCAGGTGGGGCAGGGCTCCTGCAGCCTCAGTACCTCCCCATAGCTATATCTCTCCAGCGTCTCATCCGACGTGTATCTGTGATAGGGCTCGTAGGAAATGAGGTCAGGGCGCTGCACTTCATAGATGGCTTTAATCTTGGGAAGAGCTGCCAGGTCTTTGTAATTAAGGATCTCATTATCCACTTTAGCCTGGGGAGAGGGAGAGACAGAGACAGAGAGATGGAAAGGAAAAGGAGGAGGAGAGAAGGGAAGGGAGGCTGGAGCACACAGAGTGGAGCAGCACGGGGCAGGCAGAGCCCACGGCCACCCCAGCAGCAGGGACAGGTAAGGGAGAGGAGCGAGAGGCAGCGTGGCAGGGCAGCGAGCTGGGAGGGCAGGGCTGTGCCCCCCGAGTGCTCCTGAGCTGTGCCACGGCACCGGTGGCACGGCGTGCTGCTGGGACAAGGGGATCTGTGTGTGCTGTCCCCAAATTCCGGGCTTGTCCCGCTGAGGAGCAGCTCTGGCGGGGCAGGCTGCACTTACGCAGATGACACGGTTTGGGGAGCCGATGCTGGAGCCAGGAGGGGAGATGGAGGTTTCTGACGTCCTTCTGTGCTGTGGAGGCACAAAGGGGGAGGGCAGGTGAGAGCAGGGCCAGGAGGGGCCCCGGGCAAGCAAAATGCCGCCTTGGGGCCGGAATTGGCCGGCAAAACCCTGGCAACAACCCCCGGGGCACCCCAAGAAACCCACCCAAGCCGGGGCAACGCCAAAACAAGTCAAGTCCGGCAAAAGGAACCCAAGGGCAACACGGGCCCCCTCCCCCGGAACCCGGGAAAACCAAGGAACCCCCCTCCCGCCCCAAACGGAAAACCAAGGAAACCCAACCCGGCCAAAAGCCGGACAAAACCCCGAAAAATCCCGGTCCGTCCCCTTTGCCCCGCTCTCCCCATGGACACCACAGAATAAAGAGAGCTGAACCAACATATCTGGGGTAAGAGCCTCTTTTGGAGATCTTTGCCATCTCCTGATATTCCTCCCCTCACAGCCTCAGACCTCTGGGCCAGCCTGATATTTAGGGGGCTGTGCAAGGGGGGACATCACAGTTCCAGCAGGGGCTCGAGGACAGTGGCACCTGGGATGTGCCACCTCGCCCCACTGCCTACCTTCAGCTTCTTCTCTGCTCTGGCTGCCTGCTTGCAGATGGGGTGCCACACTTCAGAGCCTGCAGGGCAGCAGAAAGGGACAGTGCTCAGCCCCACGCACGGCCAGCCCTGCCAGGGCTCAGCCAGGTCCCCCTGCCGTGCCCTGCCACCTCCAGCAGTGCCAGGGGAACGTGTGGGGCATCGGGGACCGAGTGTCTGTGACAAGGAACGGAACGGGGCAGGGCCCAAACCTCAGCTGGGACAGCAAACTCAGGGGGATTTGGGGTGGCCCAAGCAGTTGCTGCTGGTTAAAGCGGGGTGACAGCAGCCTGGGGCACCACAGCACCTCCATCCTCTGGGCTGGAGGGGGCAGGGCTGGGGCTTTGCCCAGGTGTGGGGCAGAGGAAAAGGTCCCAGCCCAGGGCAGGGCTCATGGAGAGCAGCGAGAGGGGATCCCGGGCACTGCTGCACAAAGGGACCCTGCCAAGTGCCAGCCCCCAAGCCCCCACGGCCCTACCTGTCAGGTACATCTCCTCCCCCTCTGTGAACATCTGGTGGCAGCGCACACATCTGGCACAGGTGGGGTGGTAGTGCTTCCCTCCTGCCTGCACGGGCGAGCAGAGGAGCCCCTGAGCCAGGCGGGACACGGGGACCTGCCCCTGTGCCCTGCCCCTGTCCCTGAGTGACCCTGCCCATGTCCCTGAGTGACCCTGCCCCTGTCCCCTGCCCCTGAGTGACCCTGCCCCTGTCCCCTGTCCCTGAGTGACCCTACCCCTGTCCCTACCCCTGTCCCTGTCCCTGTCCCTGTCCCTCAGTGACCCTGCCCCTGTCCCTGTCCCCGAGTGACCCTGCCAGCCCTCGCTGCTCCTGCTGGCAGTGACGAGGTGACCAAGCTCTCTGGGGTGGCCTTGGAGCCCTCCACCTCCCCTGGAGATCACCGGGGGATGCTTCATCTCTGTTTGCACCCTGCGAGCCAGAGCAGGACCCTCCTGCTCTCCCCAAAACCTTCAACACAGCAGAGCCAGGGGGTCCCGGAGCAGCAGGGACAGTGGCCCTGCAAAGGTGGCACTCTGGGAGCGGCCAGGAGCCTCTGCAGCCAGGCTTTGCACCAGCTCTTCCCCCACACATTTGGAGAAAAACAGCAAATTTGGCCGCCGGTGTCACAGCAGGGAAGCAGCAAAGGGAGAAGGACCCCAAAGACCTCCGTGGCCATTGCTGCCAGCTCCTGTCCCTAAAGGATCTTCCCTGCATCCCTGGGAATTCCTGCATCCCTGGGGAATCCCTGCATCCCTGGGGAATCCCTGCATCCCTGGGGAATCCCTGCATCCCTGGGGAATCCCTGCATCCCTGGGAATTCCTGCATCCCTGGGGAATCCCTGCATCCCTGGGAATTCCTGCATCCCTGGGGAATTCCTGCATCCCTGGGGAATTCCTGCATCCCTGGGGAATCCCTGCATCCCTGGGGAATTCCTGCATCCCTGGGAATTCCTGCATCCCTGGGGAATTCCTGCATCCCTGGGATGTGCCCAGGGGAGGGCTGGGGGCACCCAGAGCCCGGCACGGCAGCAGCTGCTTGGGGCTGGTCCCAGCACCCCCAGACAGGTCCCAGCACCCCCAGACAGGTCCCAGCACCCCCAGATAGGTCCCAGCACCCCTACGCAGGTCCCAGCACCCCCAGATAGGTCCCAGCACCCCTACGCAGGTCCCAGCACCCCAAGACAGTCCCAGCACCTCCAGAAAGGTCCCAGCACCCCCACACAGGTCCCAGCACCCCCACACAGGTCCCAGCACCCCCACACAGGTCCCACACGGCCATCGTGCCTCGGTGGTGTCCCCAGCCCCAAGGGCTGCTG